GTGTTTTGATTTAAATTAAGTTTATTAAGTGGTGATAAATAGATATACTAATGTCTAAAGTTAATGTTAAAACGATTGGATGAGTCGTTGACTATGGATGATTGTTGCTACAACAGCAATATTCAACAATAACAATGCTTTCTTTTCTTTGGTTGACATCCTTCACCCTTTTAATAACCATAAATAGTGTATATTTATTTATTATATTATTTATATTAGTACTTAATTATATTTTTTATTTAAAATAAAATAACCTCAAATTGATAAATATTTTCTCTGTTGGCAACAATGAAAGTGGGATCTAAAATTGCACAGAAATATCTCTGATGTAAAAAGGTCAAGCTAGGCAAGAGATGCGCCATGCAAGACGGACTTGCATAGCATGAGACTTGCATAGCCTAGATGTAAAGCTGCCTTAACTTATATAACATTGAGTTATCATTTCTTCTTTCCTTCGTTGAGTGTACCTCCTGTTACAGCATGAGTTTTTAGACAATACCTATTTCAGCAGATAAAATTCAATAATTACATTTTTCTCAAAAACTTCAAAAATACAAAATTTTTTAATAAAAACTTATAAATAAATAAGATAAGGTAGCTTAAACTGTTTCTTAAAATAATTACATTCTGTTATGACATTCCGTCGTTGAGTTTACATTCCGTCCTTCCTTTATTGAGTGTACTTTCTGTTATAGCAACTTTTACATAGTCGTTTGGACTTGTATTTTCTAATTTCCTGGATACAACACTAACAGCATAGAGCACCCACAGCTTCGCGATATGGAAAACAAGTATTCACTAGTTTCCTTCCCTAATTGGATAGCTTCTTTTACAATCGGGGTCGAGACCGGTCTGCTATTTTCCATGCCAAAACGTTCTAGCACCTTTCTTGTATAAGCTGACTGGGTAATACTTATGGAGTCGTCTTGATATCTTTCGATTTCCAAACCTAAGAAATATGTAGCTGGTTTAACTGTTATTTTAAACTTCTCCTGAAGCTTTTTCAAAAAATTCATCTTCATTATTTCATTTGTACATGCTATTAGACCATCGTCAACATACAGCACTAATATTAACATGTCTTTTCCTTCGATTTTAATAAATAAACATGGATCTGCAGTACTTCGTTTAAAGCCAAGCGAATCTATAAAGTTTCCAAAACGCTTATTCCAACACCTTGGTGCCTGTTTTAATCCATATAAACTTCTCTGGAGATGACAAACCATACCACTACCATCATCATAGCCTTCTGGTTGTTTCATGTATACTTCTTCGTCTAGAGTACCGTACAGAAATGCAGTACAGACATCGAATTGTGTAAGTGACATGTTTTTACTAGCAGCTATACTTATAACGGCTCTTATCGTACCACCTTTAGCTACTGGACTGAACGTTTGTTCATAATCTTCACCTTTTCTTTGTGAATAACCCTTCACTACCAAACGAGCTTTGTATTTATCAACTGAACCATCTGGATTGGTTTTGAGTTTATACACCCATTTACAGGGAATTGCTTTTTTATTTTCAGGTAAATTTTTCAAAATCCATGTACAATTCTCTTTTAATGACTGCATTTCATGCTCCATTGCCAGCCTCCAGTTATCTTTTTCACAACAAACAATTGCTTCTTTGTAACTAAGTGGTTCTTTGGTGTCGTTTATTTCAGCAGCAACCATCATAACGAACTCGTCAAAGCGTGTTGGCTTCTTAATGTTTGATCTTTCTCTCAGTTGTCTTCTAAATTCTATATCTTCTTCTAAGCTTTCTTCTGGTTCACAACATTGGTTTTCTTCTTGGTCATATGGGTCCATTTCTTCCATACTATCACTAATTTCATCGACAATATCTATTTCTTCTGTATCAGAATTATTTTGAACAAAATCCAATACATCTACTGTAGGTTGCAAACTTTGAAACTGTTTGGATTCTTTTAGCACACCGAGAGTTTCAAATTCATTAAAAATAACATCTCGTGAAAGTATTAGTCTATGCTGTTCTTCTGACCAAATCCTATATCCATCATCATTTTCATAACCCACGAGTATACCTTTAATAGATTTCTTATCCAATTTTCTCCTGCAAACTTTAGGAACGTGAGCATAACAAGTACTGCCGATTACTCTTAAATGTTTAAGTTCAGGCTTCTTGTTAAACCATATTTCATGTGGTGATTTACCAGGAATACTGGACATACCAGATCTGTTTAAGATATATGTAGCTGTGTTTACTAATTCAGCCCAAAATGTTTGATCAAAGATACCTTCTCTTGCATGCATTAAAGATCTTGCGCATTCGACAATCGTTCTGTTATCACGTTCTGAACAGCCATTTTGTTGTGGTGTGTACGGCATCACCAATCTTTGTTTTATTCCATATTTGTTTAAAATATTTGCTACTCGATGATTATCAAATTCTCCACCATGATCTGACAGAAATTCTTTCACACCATATCCTGCAGCTTTTATTTCTTTTAAAACAATATCTAATTTATCAGCAACTTCTGACTTTTGCTTTAAACAATATACAAATCGATATCTGTTAAAATCATCTTTAAATAAAACATAATATTTAAAACCGGATTTTGATACCTGGAAAGGCCCACAAACATCCGAATGGATCAGTGCTCCTGGAGTTTCTGCTCTTTTTCTTATGCCAAACTTTTTCACGGAAGCTTTTCCATAAACGCAGCCCTCACATAATTCACTATCCAGCTTTACATCTATGTTAAATTCTTGTTTAATTACATCTTTAACATGTCTTTTGCTTTGATGACCCAGCCTTTCGTGGTAAAGTTGCAATATATTTTCTTTAGAAGTAACCATACTGACACTCATATTTTCAGGTTTGATTGCCTGCATATTCAGTTTATATAGTCCACCAGACTTACATCTAGATCCAACAATAATTGTTTCTTTATAAATATTACAATAGCAGCACTCAGTGGTGGAAATAAATTCACTTTCTGGATGTTTGTCCTGAGCAGACAAAGTTGAGAAAAGATTTTCCTGATATTGGGAACATACCATACGTTGGTCAATAAAAACTCTTTCTTCTTTCCTTTTACAAAAGATTGTATTTTGATGGTACCCTGTCCTAATACCGCAACTGCATATCCATTAGCTGTTGTTATTGTTTGCTCTTCGCTAAACGGTTCATACGATTGGAATACACTTTGTTGATTTGTTATGTGATTAGTCGCTCCATTATCAACATACCAATTTTTAAAATCTGCTTCGCAATTCAACACATTCGATGATACAGCCACTAAGGACATCTGAGTTTCTTTAGCTTTAGTATTTGTATGTTTTTTCGAATTTTGTGGTTTAGGAGGCCTTCCATCGGCTTTCCATTTATCGCATTGCTTCACTTTATGACCTTTTTGCTTACAGTAATTGCAATAATAACTATATTTATGTGCTTTACTCTTATTCACTGTATATAAAACTTCTTGCTTGCTCTCATTTTTATTTGTTAATGCTTTTTCATAAGAGCATAGCTGATTTGTCAAGTTATCTATTGTTCTGTCTTTATTTGATACCAGAATCCAACTAGACTTAAATGAGAAATATTCAGGTGGTAGAGTTTCTAATATTTTACAAATAAGCAAAATATCTGGCAAGTCGCACTTACAATTATTTCCAGCAACTGCTTTATCTTTGAAAATTTTCGCTTTGCAAATTGTTCCAAAGGTTTTTAAGTTTTTATGAATGAGTAGCAATATCGTCATCTGATTGTCTAGTATAACTAAAAAATTGCATACAGATATCATAGGTTTTATCTGTTGCATTACCATCATACAAACGATGCAGCTCCAACCAAACTTCCCTAGCGGTCCAAAATCTCATGACTTTTTCTAATGTGCTTTGAGTCATATTTATTGTAAGAACTAATAAGACAGTACTATCTGTTTGATTAAAAAATGCAACATCTTTTTCATACTTGCATTTTTCTTCTTGTGTTGCTCCTTCGAGTAACGACTTAGGAAAAGTTAATCTACCATCAAGGACGTCCATCGCACTTTTTACATTTCTCAGAAGAATAGAGATTTTGTATTTCCAAGTGGTCCAACTCTCTTTACCTTCAAGTAATCCTATTTGCACCTTACTGGGATCCATTTTACTCTGGATTTAATTTAAAATGCTCTTTATTACTTTATGGAGATGACGCTTTCCAGACAGTTAAAAATTTTTCTTCAATTCTTACTTAATTTCTTGTATTTTCTAGCATTACCATTTAGGTACTGTATGCTCTGCTACCATGTTAATATTGTTAATAATATTAGATCGTCTAACTAGAAAAAACTTCCTTGTAATAAAATAATGACTGTTACTTATTGTTATTTTATTTCCATCAAAATTGACATCTTTCTTGTCTAAACTACAAAACTTAACTCATTAACTTATTTACAACATAGGATGGTAAATTACGTAGATGCCTTCTTCATTCTGCTTTAACAATAGCATCAATCTTTCTCTTAAATGGCGCTAAAGCCCAAATAGAGCCTTGGCCTCCTCCAAACTATACCTCCAACATTGCCGTCCAGTGCCGATCTTCTCCAGGTTCTCAGATATAGCAAATTTTGTGCTAAAAGTACGAATAAAATAGTGCATATTATGTCTATAGTTGCCGTAAATAAATTAAACCGGGTTAATTTTTCTATGCCCACCAAAAAAAATGTCACTGAACAGCACTGGTTTACGTTTAAAACATGGCTGATTCCGTCTGCGCGAACGAGATGGGCGTACTTATTTTTTCAAACAGAGAGAGTGGGGCCGAGTGGGGCGAGTGGGCATAATATTCTCATTCTGTGACCGAAGTTAGAAACGTGTAGATCTGTAGTAGTAAGTGTGTAGAACTGTAAATGTGTAGAAATAAATTTAATTCGTGAAGCCGATCAAAATTCAACTTATACATTTTTTTGACACAAAACGAGATTCTATTAAATGTCAAATTTTTCGTTCTATGTCCAACGCGTACGGAGATACAGAGCGTTTGCGTGCAGAGAAGTAGTGTAAATATGGCGTCACAAGAGGACGATAACATAATAGAGTGTAACAGTAATACAGACATAAACATAGAGCATGATAAAAACTTCTTAAACGTTTACAAGGTGAAGAACACAGTTATAGTGCTTCTAGTTCATTAGATTATATAATTTTCGCATGTTTATTGTGCCTACAAGTGTGTAGTTTGTTTCGCATGTCCGCCATGTTCCATCAGTAGTAAAGAAAATTTCAGAATCTGGGCATCTTTGTAACGCAAACCACAAAAATTTCGTTAAGTGAAGTTTCGGTTTCTTTATGTAGACTGAGTTTGGATCCAGTGCTGCAATTCATCTGTCATCTTGGTACCCTCCAACTCGAATTCGAAACAATTATATGTAGTTGTTTGTTTTAATTGCTTAGTCCTATACTACATCAAGATGAATCACATCGTAAAAATAGGAGGACTCAATTTTATGGCACCCTTTAAAGCACGTATTATGTCTTTATTATTTTATTTTATATATAGCAAAAGTGATTTCATACTTTAAAGCCGGAAAACCTAGACCTCAAGGGCAAAATGCATTGAGTAATCTTCTCCCTTTGTCATTTTAAGTGACCTATTTACAAATTTCAATAAATAGTTCTTAGGAATATGATATAAACTTGGGTACTCAACATGCCCAGAGACAAAAACTAACCTGAATTAATAGTGCACAGTTATTCAAGTTCCTTCTCATCCATGTTTTGCATCAGGAATTTAAATACCTTTAGATTTTAGGGTCTCTAGGTATATTGAATGCTTGAGTTATTGTGTATGGATATGGGTTTGATTTTCCTCTATTGTGCACATTAACTACTTTAGTTTCCCTAATCAACAGTCAAATCTTTTTTCATTGTATTCTTAATATTGCTTTCAAATTCAGTTTAACATTAAGTAAAACCGATTCATAAGACTCAAAATATACATGGTTCAAACGGGTAAGACATTAAAACATTATTAAGTCCTATCATCTGAATTTTTTTGCTTTATTCTTTCTGGTATGTATGTTTGCATGCTAAATGTTTTTATTACTAGTTATTAAAAATTGTTTTGAATGTAGATGAAGGATTTATTTATTATTGAAATCACTTTCGCTTATATCTAGATATTAATGAATTTTTTTGTAGAATTTTAATATTTACTACAATCTTTCTTTAACCATTCATTAGTAGCGCCCTTGTATATTACAGATACAAGTGTCAAAGTGTTTTTAATGAAAATATATTGGGTAGTTATAAGTAGATTTTTGTAGATTGGTTTATTTTTTTGCTATATAATTAGATCTTAATGTGCCATTCTAATTTTCGGTGTAGGAAACTCCCCTGCATATATATGAGCTGGTGAGAATCAGAGTGGTGTAAGTCAGTTTTTAATCAATTTGAGATTTTTAAGTGTTTGTTAGACACTGTACAAAAAAATCCTTCTATAGTTTAAAGCAAAAGAATTATATACTCGGTTCACTATTCCCAGTCCGAACTGGCTAGTGAATTTAGTAAATATTTTTTTGCGAAGTTAGTTACTTTTTGACAGACTAAAAGTGGCTGGAAATTACTATAAAACCAAGCACACCTACTCATAGCCAATATTAATAGTAAACAAACTAAATAGTAAATAAAATAGAACTTTGAGAATTACTGACAATCAACATTTATTTATCTGCACCATATAATAAATAGTTATGTTAAATTATAACAACTAAAATATATTTTTTAAATATAATACTACCCAAAATTTGATGAGTTTAGTATTCACTTCCAATATTTAGAATAATTCTTCTTTTTTCAAAGGAAGAAGTCTGCAATAGTAGTATACTTAAGCTATTAATACTGAGAAGTAGGAATTGACGGAATTGTTGTGTTGTAGGTTTCCAACAATGAATCTATCAAAATATGCCCGAGCTAAGCGAATAGAGTATACCTTTTTGTTATCTCAAATTGTTACTTTTTTTATTAATATAGGTTTTATATACCTATTGTTTACCATAAAAAAAAATAAAAAGGGCTTAAATGACTTACACCACTACCATAATAAACACAAATAGGGATTGAATAGAATAACTGATTTACAGTGTTGAAGATTAAACTTTATTGCTTAAAATTTGACTTTTACAAGTTAATATGGGTATAGGTTAGTGTAAAAAATTTACTATTACACTTTGTCAACAGATTAAGTATTTCTAAAATATTGATCAATTCTAAGATCCACTAGAGTCTTTTTTAGTCCACAGTTTCAACTTCCTCATTGCTTTGAGGTTCAACATACAGAAGTGGGCCAATCTCCACCCCTTCTTCATTATTTGCAGCAGTTGCTATGTTTTGAAAAAAAAACCCATGATGGACTGGAGGAATGAACTGTAGGAGGTCAATCATATCCTGTTTCCTCTGCTCACTTACAGGTCTCATTCTTGAGTCGAGTTTTTGTATGGGAACATTTTTCAACTGTACTGGCCTTTCCTTTCGTCTTGTTGGAGTGATATCTATGGTGTTGAACTGTATCATGTCTTGAATTGTCTCTTTATACTGAATGCTGTAGGGTTTAGACTTTTCATACCTTATCCACTGCATTTTTAGCCAGTTTACTGACATTTTCCTTGAATTTTTTTCCTATTTGCAATGTTTCTTTCCAGTGTGCTTGTTGAAAAGAATTCATCATTTCTCATCTCACAAACAATAAATTTATTTTTTCTCCGACAGGTAGTCGTGATTTCTTTTCAGTCACTTGGTAGATAGATTGCCTTTCCCTTTGCAGCTAGTTCTACAGAACCAAAATCCAAATCATTCGGTAGGAATGAATGCCCAGAAACTAAAAACTTCTGATTTATTACTTCAATGTCTATTGCGTTGCTTTGTAGAAATCTTGTTAGTGCTAAAGCCATTTTAATATTTCGGTTTTTACTAGTACAAGTATCGCTGTAAATTATTACATGTTTCTTGTTTGGAGCATTTAGTTTAAGATGCTTTATAATACAGGATGAAACTTCTTGAGAGCCTCTGAAACAGATACCACTGGAAACAACAAAGCTTTCTGTAGGTCAACACTACATACATAATTGTCCTGGTTTCTTTTCGCATTTTTCGCATCAGTAGTCATACATTCCCTTGCTAGCTCAGCTTTCCGTAAATGGAGTTCATGGTCAGTGTTGAGATAATTCATCCCTACTCAATTCAGGATTGCATATTTTTATTTTGAATATGTCACATTTTTTGCAAGTATCTTTTTTTGGAATGTAGAAGTGAAGGTTAAATTTAGTGTTGAAAACATTGATAAAAATGCTCCTTAACCGGTGATTTCTGCTCTTCCTGATACTTTTTCTCATACAATGAATACATTTTTCTGATATTTAAATTATCACCTTCGGCGTTCATTTTTCTTCCTGGTGTTGTGACTCTGGTAAGATTGAAATGACTTGATATGTTTGCAGACATATTCTATATCATCCTCAGGGATTTTCCTTGCTGGGTATCATTTTATACCTCTGAGGTCTTCACCAGGTAATTTACCTTCACAGTTTTTTTAGAGCTAGTGTAAAACGACCATCTGACAGGCAATAAGTAGTGAGAAAATACTTTTTGCACACTGCAACTGATATACCTTGATTTGTTTTTAAGTAGTATTTGTTTGCCTCATCCCTTAAAATTCCACCCTCTTTATGGGACCTTCTTTGCTTGATTTGAGTTCTTTGAAGCAGTGCGCAAATATAAGTATTTTTCCGCTTAAAATCCCCTAGTTCCCAGAAAGACTTAAACATAGATTGTCGTTCTTCAGTTGTTACCATCTCATGAGACGCCATTTTGCAATGGCATGGGGTGTCTGAAAATATTTTATTTGCTATTACTTAACCATTTACATTCACATACCTCTCACCAGAATTCCTCTGTTTCTTAGCAATGCTTTTTTTATGACATTCTGGCTTCCTGAGCCTTTTTCTAGTCTTTACTTTAGCTTAGGACTGCTAAACTCATTATTTTCATCTGACCGGATGTAGTAGAAATTAATCTATTTCTTCTTCCTACAAGGTTGAGTCTTTGTTCAAAAGGAGTAAGCCTGTTATCTTCATTGTAATCTGAATCCCTATCAACATCATCAGTTGATTCAATAGTCTGATTCACTTGGTAAATGTAACCTGTTATAGGTTTTCAATATAGGCCTACTCATGTTTTAGGTTATTTAAATTTCTTTTGTTTTATAAAAATTTTCACTTGAAATACTGACATTTTAGTTATAAAACAAGATTATCTTCAATTTAAAAACAAATTACTGTTACACAATGTCAAATATGTTTGTTTATATACCACCAATAATATGTAATAATACATATACTTAACACAAAATAACACTCACTGATCACTTAGCAATATAACCTTGCATGCAAACAAATTCATCATCTGACCACTCTCTTTCTAAACACATTCGGAAAATAAATATTGACTTAACTCTAATTTTTTAATTGTTTGACTTACACCACTCTGATTTTTACCTGTTCATATATATGAATATAATGTTGTGTATCATTAACGCCTAGATATACAGGACCTGAAGTTTAATATTGACTCCAAATCACTAAGTGTAGGAGCTATGTTAGACTGTTTATTCCTTTGCAGGGTAATTGTCCTTGCTACTCTTTGATTTTGAAGTGGGAATAGAACCTAGAGCATTAGACACCAAAATGAGATATCCTCAGCATTTTACTACCTAGGCTAATAGGGTTCGAATAATTATGTATTAATAGTACTACCATCTTTCTGGGAAACCAATAAACATTCATCCCGGTGGGGTGATATTGTTTAAGATGTGGAAATTTATGAACAAGGGATCCACCTGCTTTATGGAATTTATGGTTGTATCCCTTGTTTATGTAATTTCAGACCTCCAACAATAATTCTTGAGCTGAATACTAATGAGTTTCATAGAAAGACAGTACTACTATAAATGTATAACTATCAAAACACTAATACTTAGATAACCCAATATTAAATAAAATATCATTCTGAAGCTATTTTCTAAGACTGGCATCTTAATACAATTTGCTATTTTTACTGAGTACAAGCCACAATTTTACTTTAAAATAAGTGTATAACTTATTGTAATGTAAAATGGCAGCTTATTCCCAGTAAAAATATTGTGTGTGTGTGTGTTTTATTGTCACTGGTTTTAACAACCAACTGGCCAGTCAATTTGTTTTGAGTTCTCTCTTTACACAAGATAGAGTTTTTACATTTAAGACTATTGTATTGCATTGACATTTGGAATGTTAGAAACTTACTAGTTTACTCTGCTTTTACTGTTTACTGTTTTGTTTTTTGTATCTTTTTTATTATTATTTTTTTTATTACTATGCTAATACATAAACCTGATTCTACACCTTGGAGGTTTAGATCTTTTTAGTGACTTTTTTATTTTATTTTAGCTTTAATTTTAAACAATTAATATGACTATATAAAATTTTAT